TTCTATGGGGATATGTTCATGGGGAACTTGTGGCGTAGAATAATCACTAGACAACAGTTTTGATTTCCTACTAGTAGAATCACTATCAGAACTATCAGGAATATTTTCACGCGCAGGTGTAGGGGAAATATTTAAGGCTCTTCTTCCATGAAGCGGTGTTGGCGGTTGATTTTGCCTTTCTCCAAGTGTTGATAAGTCCCTTGAAGAGACCTCCCAAGGCGTACCATCTCTTCGTAGATTTGGCTGCGCCATTGAGTGTTCCTCCCCGTATTCCTTGGGTGTCTTGAATGGGTATTCCTCCCTCTGCAACTCAGGGGTCTCATTGATCCTTCTTGAAGGTCCGGCGCTTCTCGTGGTTGCAGGAGACTCTCCGCCGACACGTTTAATGGGTTCCAACCCTTGGTTCTTTTGAGGGTCGTCGTCATTCCTCTTGAGTCTATCATCGCTTGGAAATCCTCCCGGCAATACTTTAGGTGAGCTCTGATGGCCGAGTAACTGCTGCGGTTGCGCACATCCTTCAACCATTCCTTGTTGGTCTTCATCCTGTAATAATAGCGCTCGAATTTCTCTTCCTTGGGAACTGTTAGTAGGAGATGTTAGTTTCTTTTTAGAGGCGTAAATAATTTTATCTTTATTCTTTGGCAAGACTGACGCTGGTGGAAATCCTCTCTGGGATGATGGAGCGTCTCTGGTCCTTCCATTATAACCTCTAAGTCTAAGAGAAGGTGGAGACATGGTAAAAGAAAACAGGTCTTAGTAGGAAATTTTAACCCGGTGAAAATTGGTAACAAAAAAATATGTAGAGGTGTTAAATTTACCTGAGGATTTATCTGAGGCAACTACAGAGGCTTCTCTATTAGTTGTTTGAGGAGATTGGGCTCTATTGTCACGTGGCGCAGTGTTTTTGTCGTGTACTTCCAAGTTTTGGATGTTGGCGCTAAGGGTGCTGTTGACGGCGGACACTGTTACACAACCAATTTTTGAGCTTTTTCGGAAATTTTTTGTTCGAGAGATAAGTTCAGAAGCTAAGGAACACGCTCAACTTTTCAGAATGAAATATTTCAAGGTACTTCTAGTCGAAAACTTGAGAGGTCGGTGTTTGCTACTGAAACTGGGTGATGGAGTTGAGTGAGGATGGAAAGTAAGGCGGCGCTGGATACGTCTTATAAAGGCGATGAGTTCTGTATTTTGTTTGTCAATGTAGCTAAAATAATAAAGGAGCTACACTCTCTCAAAGATCGGGAAAGATCACTTTCGACGGTTTAGTAGGAGGGGTGATGTACTAGGCGGGAGTGGTAGTACGGCAGATCTGTATGTATGTAGATCCTTGCAGATCCTGGCAAATCCGGGGTGTATTGAGTTGTAACTGTGTAATACGGCCTGCAGAACCTTATGTACACGTGAGATAACTCTATTTTTAGACTTCGACCAGGTGTATTAGCCTTCGACCAGGTACTAATCCCTCGAGATGATGGGTAAATGAGGCTAGATCCGCTCTCGCCGTAGGAATGGTAGACTTTCAAGGTTCAGGAAAAAAACCTAGTAGTGTAAACAGGGTACGGCGGATTGAATGGTTGACTCAGATTGTTTGTAACTGTTATGGTTCTCTCTCCGTGATGGTGTGAAGTGGCTCAGACTGAAAAAATAAGACTTTTTGAAGGGACGCGGGCGTATTTTTTAAGGGATTTTAATTTTTTCTGTGTGGATGAATCAAATGGAAATATAATGAAATATTTTTGTGATTTTTTGTGGCACGAGATGAGTAAAACAGATAGCGCAAGAATTTTATTTTTGTGTTTTTGTGGTGTTTTTATTTCTGATACTAAGAAAATGAGATGAGATGAGATAAAAACAAGTCTAATTTATTTCTAAATCCGTGAGGTCTATGATTATAGAGTTGGGTTGAGGCGGAGAACAAGCAGTAAAAGGTGGGAGAGAGTAGTAGCGGACTGTTCTAGACAAGATGTTAGTAGGAAGAGTTCTATATTTTGGGGTTTCTTCTAGCGCTGTAAAGAAGTTATTTCTATTGGTTTCTACGGTTTTTTCTACGATGGACACGTCCTCTTCTACAAGATTTATGAGTATGTAGTCAGGGGAATATGTAGAATGAAGGGTACAATGATAGCGCTTAGTTTCTATGTAGTTCCAAAATCTATCTTCTGCTTCTGTTACTTTTATTTTTTCTACTCTTTCAATAACTGTAATGTTATCCGGGTGGTTGTGGTAATATCTACTAGCTTCTTCAGCAATTGTACTGTCTATTTGTCTAATAAATGGCAAAACTTCCGGCATTTGTTCTTCAGAAGGCCATTGTTAGTAGTAAATGTTTTGGGGACAAAAGGTTAAGAGAAGCAAGGAGATATGTTAGTCACGGAATTCCAATTAGGCCAGACCCCCAATTGTCAGCCTCTGGGTAACTAACCTGAGTATTTAATAGTAAAAAGGTTGTTACTATGAGTTGACTGAAGTTTTTGAGCGTGGTGAGTGTTAGGTAGTGGGTGATTAATACCAGTCCTGTAAAGAGGAGGTTTCACTCTATCAGTATGGTCTTTACTGAGAGGCTTGCTATCAACAGCGCATCCGGATCAATACAAGGTATTAATAGGCATCCAGGGTACTAAGACTCACCTGGGATTGATTTGATTATTCCCCAAAGGGAATGGGCTAACAATACTTATTAAGCTTTAACAAAATTAGTTGAAGATTAACAGGTATTGTTAATGGGAATATTCAGCAAGGCTATGAATACTGTGGATAAGTTGAGTAAGAGTACTGAAGCTTAAGAACAATAAATGTAGACAAGATTTATGTTGGTTACGGGTACTGTATCAATATAAATGTTAACTGGTTTAACTGGTGTCTGAATATTCTGGGGATTAATCAGTGAAAGAGGCACGGATTATAAGTTCCAGAATATTGAAGGAGGGAAAGAATGAGCGCTCAGAATCAAGGGAGCTTTGGCCAGGAGAATGAGCACATCAATTGAGTGACTGATCATTATTTGTCATGATCTGTAAGTGACATCATAATTGTGTACTAGTTGATCAATGTACTAGTTGCTCTTGATGCGTGCACTTGACAGATCCTCTAATAATGTAGTCATAATTGTGATCAGTACATGTATTGAATGTATTAATTCTATTGACACTTAATACTTACTATTTAGTACATGTACATATTTATTTGTAATAATATTTGACCGTGAAAATACTGTAGCAGAGGGATAACTTGTGGTACAGGTATTTCACGGACAAGGGAGTGAAAGGTAAGTGATAATTACTTATGTAGAACACAGGTATGTATTTAATAGATAAGTAATTAACAGATAAGATAACTGTAAGATAAATAAGATAAGTTAATAATAGAGATAAGATAACAAGAGGTAAAGGTAATCAACATTATGGATAAGTACTTATGTACATAAGTACAGGTGTTGCAGTTACTTGGTACATGAAAGGTACTGTGACATGTACTCTGTGGCTGACAGATATTATTATAAATAGTGCTGGAAATAAATGAGAATATCAAATAATAAGAGCATTATTTCTCAATATTCTTAATCTATATGAAGAATAACCTAGGGTACCTCACTCAAAGGTACCCTATATTTCAACTACTTCATGCGGCAAATCTACATCAAAGATATAGAGTGTACCTCCCAGAAGGAAATGAAATATGCTTATGTTTATAATCAAATATGCTAATAAACAGGTTTAAGACTTGAAACTGATTTGTTGTTTCAAACATACATTTGTATATTGATAACACGTGTGTGGCACATTTCCAAGGAAATAGCCAGATGTTTCAGCTTTCATCTTCCACAGAACACCTGTGGCAAATTTCCAAGGATATGGTCACATGTTTCAGCCTCCATGCATGAAGCACCCACAAGTTGACCCTGATCTCTCAGATGCCTCCACGGGTATATAAAGAGCCCTCTTTCCCCCCAAAGTCAGATTCATCAGATTATTACAACCCACTTTAGATTACCCACCGTCCCAAATGCTTAAAATTTGTATCTGTCTGGTAATGTATTGTCTCTTGCTTTAATTCTCTGTCTATCAGAACCTCAAGACTTAAGGGGCTTTATTAGTACATAATGCCCCCTTCTTTCTTGAGATTCTTACTACTTTCTTCTGGGATTTAAACCACCCCTGTTAAACAGGCCCCAGTGTTAACAGGTACCTAAATCCTCTGCTTTTGCACGATACCTTAGAGGGAACTAAACCACCCCTGATTTATCAGGCCCCTCTGTTTAAATTATATCAATATTTATTGATATAATTATTCTTTTCTACTATCTAATAACCTTGTAATTACCAATCATCATTGGAATTACCACCCAAACTCTTCAGTTCCAGAGCTCGAACTCTGTCATCTTAAGTTTTGCACCACGTGTAGCTAGAAGATTTACCATCTTGGCATCACGGTGGCTGACAATAAAAGCCTGCTACATATCTATCACATGCATTAGCTAATCGTGAATTAATCTGGGCAGACATTCCAAGACGTGTGAAAGAACTACTTTTGGTCGAAGGCATAGTACAATGTTTGTACCGGTTTGCTTGCCAAATCATTTTGACAATCCCATGTTGATGGTCGAATTTGATACCAAATTTGTGATCAGGAAAGACAAAAGGACCAAATGATATGTCATATGTGGATGGGTCCAAAGCTAAAATACCATCAGAAGAGACTGTAGGAAGAAACATAGCAAAACCAAACTGGGAAATATCCTCTTTGTCAACATGGGGGGGATTATAAAAATGATTGGTGGTAAAAACTAAATGTGGAGAGCAGTCAGAGTCGGTTTTTTCTTCTTCAAATTCAAGAGAAGAAAAAGAGGTAATATTATGCTTCTTCATCAAGTCTTGGTTTTCTTCACAGGGGGTATTTGCCATTTGCTTGAAATAATGTGCAATGATTGCTTCGATTTTTTTGGATTGAGTGAAATGTTCGTGAAACTCTTGGCTGTCCTCTTGTTCGAATTTTTTGATATATCAACCAACAATCTGACCTCCATCAGAAGACTTCCTCCAACCAATTACCCACATTAATCCACCCCAAGATTGGCTATCCACGGCAACAGGACTGATAAACTTTTTTGAACGTTGGAGAAAAGTTGATAAATAGTTGAGATCGGCTTTGTCTTGATCGGACATATCTTCAAACTTGACAAAATCAATAAATGCGATAATAGATTCCTTGTCCAAAGGATCCTGGACAATATTTCGGCCGGTCTTGAAGAGATGGAAGGATTCAACCTCCTTGTAGGCTGATTTGATCTCTTCGGGAGTTGGTGGGCGAGTCGGTTTCTCTTTCTCAATTGGAATGGTCGGATAGAGGTTGAGTTCCTCAAACTTTACTTCTCTCCAATTGACAAAATGGGTTGTATCATCTGGGTTGAGAGTTCTTTGGAGAAGCTGGTCTCGAGTCTGCTGTTTTTTCTTTGCTTTGCACCGTTTTTTGGCTGCTTTTCTACTACCATTGTTATTCCTATCAGGAGATAAACGGTCCCAAGGGCAAAAATGGCCCCAAGATCCATTCATTCCATCACATAGGCAAAGCATAGGCAAATGGCAGGTGGAAAAGAAACGGCAGAAAAGGCAAAACAAAATGACACAGATGAAGAAAAAGTAAAATCAGCTGCCTGTCTAAGCAACACAAGGTTAAAATCATACCGTTTGTTTTTTGCCATGTTGTTTTTAATAGCTTGACCTATTCTCTTGCTATTGTTCTTCATTTTTGTGTGTGGATTTGATGGCAGAGGAGTTCAGTTTTGATCGGTCACAAAAGGATGATAGTCTTTTCAGTTGAAAGGGCTCACAGTGTGTTAGATCGTTGGCTCTGGGATGTTCTGGTGAGAGGTTTTAAAGCAAATGGCTTCAGTTCAGATCGCTCAGGCTGCTTTTCCAGAAGAGTGAGTGTCAGTTATGAGTGTATCTTGACAAATATTATAAGTCTGTGTCACTGACTGTTGATTGGTCTTCAAACACTGATCCAGTGAAACCAAAAAGGAGTATCTGAATGGATCTTTGGCTCTAGGATGTTCTGGTGAGAGGTTTTCAAGCAAATGGCTTCAGTTCAGATCGATCGGGCTGATTTTCCAGAAAAAGTGAGTGTCAGCTAGTCATATAATGTAAACCAGTGTCACTACTTGTTGATTGGTCTTCAAACACTGTTCCAGCGAACCAAAGTGCAGGGACTGACAATCGA